TCATTTTTAATTCTTCTTTTTTAGTTTTTTTAGGGATTTCAAATCATTTCATATAATATCAGACAATGGAAGTCCGAAATAATGAAATTCCTCATGAAACATTGTCTCACCTCCAAACAAACGGAATGAACAATACCCAAAATCATTTAAACTGTTATTCTCAACAAATAGGTTTCAGACTGGTGGTAATGGACCACTTTTTTTCTATAATATGCATATTTTTTTTTCAGTGGGCCAAAATTGTCATAACCTTAGAAAGAGCCATCCCTCAATCAGATGCTCACCATTATTTGGAAGAATACAGTATTTCACTAGGACTTAGTGAAGATCCCAATACCGAACAACGAGGTGTAATGGTTATCAAATCTAAGAATAAAACTAGAGCCAAACAGAGAAAAGGAGCAGTAGCAAATTGGAAGGTGATAAAGAAAATATAAAATGGTTTAGTTTTTTGCGTCTGAGGTTTTCAGTGTCATTGTTTTTCGAGTTTGAAAGTCGTGGATTTTTGGAATTTCTTCCTGACGTTTCGCTGGCGCGAGTCTAGCTTCTTCAGAGGTTTAACCATCATGGCTTGCTGCCCGATGACTAACTTTTAGGCTTCGTAAAGCGTAAAGCCTTGTCAGGTAATCAGTTGTATTGGTACCTGTATTTGTACCTGTACTTGTACCTGTACTTGTACCTGTACTTGTACCTGTACTTGTACCTGTACTTGTACCTGCACTTGTACCTGTACTTGTACCTGTACTTAAACCTGGAACATTAACAATCTTGCTGCCTGTTGTCATTCTGTTCGTTATTCTCGAATTCCTCAAAATGGGGTTCCATACTCGGTTGAGGTTCACCGCTTCTTCTTTTCTGTTGAAATTCTCCGTGTGTTTGTGGATCTCTATTGCCTCCCGTACCAGTCGGCTATAGTATCCCTGGTTTGATGTAGGCTGATTGGTCGTACCGATTTAAGGTGTGGGTCTTTCCGACCCACTGCCCACCCTTGCTGCCAACCAACTGGGTGATATATAGTTCCATGCCAGACTAGCTCTATACAATTTTACGAGAATAGGTAAAATTATTTCTAGTCCGTTTTGAAGAAGAGCTGGAAATATACCATCCTATCCAGGAGATTTGAAGGGCTGAAACGACTTGATAGACCATTTAAACTGCCGGTGCTGTGATAACCTTCTTGACGACTTCTCATTCGTTCTTTTTTGGGCGTTTGGCACCCTCGAAGATGGGAGGTCTGTTTTTATCAAGAGTCAGATTTCCAGAAAAGTGGTTTTCTATCAAAAGCTCTAACGTTTTTTTACTAGAGGTCGTGAATGTTTCATTGGGTCGTTTAAGCGACCCAATTTCAGCAGTCGGCTCGCTAGAGAAAATCTTATGACTCTTTAGCTCGATTGAATAATCATCGAACTTTTTTTCTTAATTTTTTAAGGCTTTTTTTTCTACCAAAAAGAGTTATGGTTATTTCTTTTAATCCTCAGGAAGCAGGTAGATTAAGCTTGTTAAAAAATCTGTTAAAATCTGTTTTCACGTTAACCAGCTGTGTTCAATAGAATATAGGAATTCAAATGATTAACATTATAACTTTATTGAATTATAAATTTTCACGACTGCTGTCGAAGCCCTCGGTTATCTTGATATGTGTGGTTTGAATTTTCTCTCGATTTCGTAAATGGTATTAATACGTTTTCTCCGTGGGTTTGACAATAATCAGTTGTCTGTTGAAAAAATAAGGTGAATTTCGAATCATCTGAAAAATGAATTTCATTAGTTTGGACTTCCATTGTCTGATATTATATAAAATGATTTTAAATCTCAGAAAGAGCTGAAAAAAAAATTAAAAAAGAATAGCTGAATATAGCAATCATATTAAGCAAAAAAACCTGAAATTAAATAATAGTGAAATAAAATACATGTAAAAAGAGAACAATTGGACAAAAATTGAAAAGTTGAGAGATTTCAAACCAAGTTACTTCACGACGTTTCATTTGTTTGTAATCACAATCCACGTCGAAACTGATGGAAAGCCTTTACACCAACGTTCCGGTCGAAGAAGCACTCCAAATCATACAGAGGAAGCTATCCGAAGATGGGGACCTGAAAGATAGAACGAATTTACCTATAGAATTATTAAATTAAATATGGAATTACTAGGATGCTGTGTACGAAACTGTTATTTCCAACTGAAGAACGAACTCTTTACACAAGATGAGGGACTGCCAATAGGATCGTCACTTTCACCAGTCATAGCCAACATATATATGTAGTGGTTTGAAACTCTAGCCATTGAAGAAGCCCACAAGAAACCTCGTGTCTGGTTAAGATACGTTGACGACACTTTCATAATATGGAACCATGGGAATACCGAACTAGACCCCTTCCTGAAACATATCAACAGCGTAAGACCTTTCATCACTTTCACAATGGAGAAGGAAATCCACAACGAACTGCCATTCTTAGACGGAAGGATGTATCATCNATTGTCATAACCTTAGAAAGAGCCATCCCTCAATCAGATGCTCACCATTATTTGGAAGAATACAGTATTTCACTAGGACTTAGTGAAGATCCCAATACCGAACAACGAGGTGTAATGGTTATCAAATCTAAGAATAAAACTAGAGCCAAACAGAGAAAAGGAGCAGTAGCAAATTGGAAGGTGATAAAGAAAATATAAAATGGTTTAGTTTTTTGCGTCTGAGGTTTTCAGTGTCATTGTTTTTCGAGTTTGAAAGTCGTGGATTTTTGGAATTTCTTCCTGACGTTTCGCTGGCGCGAGTCTAGCTTCTTCAGAGGTTTAACCATCATGGCTTGCTGCCCGATTACTAACTTTTAGGCTTCGTAAAGCGTATTTATGCCTTGTCAGGTAATCAGTTGTATTGGTACCTGTACTTGTACCTGCACTTGTACCTTTATTTGAACCTGGAACATTAACAATCTTGCTGCCTGTTGTCATTCTGTCCGTTATCCTGGAATTCCTCAAAATGGGGTTCCATACTCGATTGAGGTTCACCGCTTCTTCTTTTCTGTTGAAATTCTCCGTGTGTTTGTGGATCTCTATTGCCTTCCGTACCAGTCGGCTATAGTATCCCTGGTTGGGGCAATTAATTCTGTGTTTTCAAACAAAATTATATGGTCTCCTTCACTAAGCGCATGTTCTGCCACAGCTGACTTGTCCGCCATAGCAGACTAGGTTTTGCTGGCCAAACTTCGATGTTATGGCTTGTCGAATCATTTTTGTGTAAGGCTCTTCAGCTTCCTGAAACAACGTTCCCTGCAAGTGGCCGTCGATGGATATCTTTCGAATACTTTTGACATCAAGGATGATGTTCCATATTGTCTTTAACCTTTTTTTTATTGTATATCAACTACTTGGAAAAAAAGAAGAATACAATATATTGCTTTGCGGACGACAGCACACTTGTTTCATCATTCCATTTGGATTCCAGGATATCGTCTGCGGATGCACATCTTCCCCAGCAGCAGGTGGTTGCATATCTTAATGAGGATCTAGAAGTGATTTCGAATAGAATATAATAATGTCAGGACAGACAATTCCGCTTTCTGTTTCGATAAGTTGGTTGGGGGGTTGAAATGGACACCAATATGTCTTGGCACAATCATGTCGCTGGAATTGCAATGGCTGTTTCTCAAAAGCTTGGAACACTGTCCCGAACCAGAAAACTGTACACACCTCAGCAACTTTTGATGCTTTATAAAGCTCATATCAGACCTTCTTTGGAGTATTGTTCTCATGCATACCCAGAAACTGCTGGATTCCATCCAGAAAAGAGACATCCGCCTGATTGGAGACGGGAACATCACTTGCAACCTTGATACTTTGGAGCATCGAAGAAAGGTTGGGGATTTGTCTCTCTTCTATAGATACTGTCACAGGAAGTGTTCAAGTGACTTGGCATATTTGATTCTACCAAGAGCGGTACATTCTCACCCATAATTATAAAAGTGTTTGATAGTTCCCCAAATTTACAGTTAAGACTCAATGATGCGAATAGATAAAGGTAAATAGACACTCGGTACACATTATTGTTTGTATCAAATGATTGGCAGACAGGTAGCTATAGTTACGACTATGGCAAAGGTATGGTCTATAGTCTTTTGTGAACTAAAGGGCTTCTAACTGAAGCCTCGGATGTGTTTTTGCAAACAATAGATCCCTCCCAAATGTCCCTCGGATACGATAACTATCCGGCAGCCTAAATACTATCCGGCCGATTACCCGATCAAAAAAAATAGGTAATCATTTGCTCAAAAAATAATTTTCAGTAATCACACTTCAATTCTACAACTTAGAAAGTGCATTAGTAGTCATACTGCACTAAGGGCAAATTTGGATGAATTAATACTAAATTCCCTGTGTTAAGGTAGCAAGCGGTTTCGCTTGTCTTCGTAAATAAAGCCAGTTTCACAAAAAAGTATTTTGCCGTACACACTGCTGCAAGGTGTTGAAAAATATAGGCACTGCAATCAACGCAATAAGTCAATGAATGAAACAATTGTTAATTTCGCTTATCAACGAACACATCGGCGGCCGAATATCCGGCGGCATCCGGCTAAACTGCTACTCGTTTCATCTCTAGTAAAATTCTTCAAAGTTTAACTCTGAGCTCTGATGCATACTTGCATCATGTGTTTCGCAATATTTTGTAATGCGCATAAATCTGGAATCTTGATAGTAATGCCTTTCAAAGTTGTGTCATCTGGAGTACTTCGAATTTCATTTGTCACAAAAGCAATATTGGGTTTAGCAAATGGGGTTGAAGTGAATTATTCCATTAACCAGCTGTCATTCCCGTACGAACGGCAACCCTCAAACGTTGAAACATCTTAGTATGTTTTCTTAGAATTTACTTACTTTCAGAGAGTAGGAAAGGTTACGATAAACGCCCTTAAGAAAAAGGGGATTTCTGGAGAGGAGATGAGATGTTTAATGTGGGGAAGAGAGTCTATAAATACGCCAATAAAAATAAAAGGGTAATGCCAAATATATACATAAAATTGTTGAGTTCCCTAATCTTTTTATGTTTCAGACCAACAAAGGACCGTTTACAAAATCCTCAGGAACCAGATTTGACAGGGGGGTTTGGTGATGCACTGACTGCAGCATTAGATGTCATGGCATATACTCATGAACTGGACATAAATGGAGCAGCCCAGGGTTTGAATTTAGCTAATAATGTCAAACCAGTAGAAACAACTCCTCTACCAAATAATCAGAAGAATAATGAATCAAATACCCGAATTACTGGTGTCGGAAAAGAAATAGGTATTCATATGATGAATTTGAGTGATACGGATTTTCATTGCTCAAAAACAGGGCCGGATTTGGAAGTCTGAAGGCCTTGGGGCAACGAAGCAGTGGAATCATCTAATTTTTTCTATAAAAAAAGAATGGTTGTTCAAAGCTAATTACTCTAACACTATCTGTAATTTTCATCTGTTCGACGTTTTGGCTCCTGCTTTGAAGCCATTTTCAAGAACCCCTTGAAACTGAAATTACATGACTCGACAACTTATGACTGAACAAAGGAAAAACAAAGCCAATGATCAGTGGGTGGTCAGGGAGATTAAGACCCCGTCGTCAAGTCATGTAATTTCAGTTTCAAGTGGTTCTTGAAAATGGCTTCAAAGCAGGAGCCGAAACGTCGAAAAGATGAACATTTCAGACGAGATTCAACCCGGACGACAGTACATGTCCAGTTCTAACCCAGATGGAAAATTAGACTTTGTTGAAACTTTGTGAAAATGATACTTGTGAGGATCAAAAACACAGAACACAGAGCGAAACCTGGAAAAACAGTTCATCATATATAGGGAACACGATGGGTCCCTTAATGTTTTTTATAAAAGTAGAATTTTTAACTTCCCGCTAAGGAAATAAAAAATTTAAAAACAGTGAAAGCGGGCGAAAATCGACACGTACAATTATTAGTGTCTGTCATTCAAATCTGAAGGTTTAGTTTTGTACACATTGCTCTTTACATATCCCCATAAAAAGAAATCTAATGATAAAAGATCAGCTGATCGCGCTGGCCTTTCAATCGATCCTCGCCTCCCTATCCACCGATTGGGAAATGTTGTATCGAGGTATTGCCGGACACCAACTTGGAAATATGGTGGTGCTCCATCCTGCTGAAACCCTATCGTATTCACTGGAACTTGAGGGTTTCCTGGATCAGGATATAAATTTGCTAAACTTGGAATGAAGCAGTGCCAATTAATTATCGCCATTCAAGTTGCCCTCAATGAAAAAGGGACCAATGATATGGTTTTCTACAATCCCTGCCCAAACAATAACCTTTTGTAAAACTGTTATTTTATGCATTTCCGTTAATCTAACCATTTGTCAGACTTGAAGTTAACGAACTTCCAACTCAAATTAAAATACTGACAACGAATGTTGTAACATACAAAACAAGTTGACAAAGCATTTCAAACTAACGTTGCCACGGAAATTATTTAGAGTTTTTTAAAGGATACCGTCTAAAAAGAATATTGCTATTGTTTTTGCTTACTTTCTTATTATCAATACCTCAACACGAAATAAGTTTTGAGTATATTGCAATAACTTTTGACTGTATTTTATCGACTTTCGGTAACCACATGATTTTGATTTATTTTATCTTAATTGTTGCAATAAACTTGAAAGCAATAACATTTTTAAATAGACCTTTCAAACGATATATCACAAGCTATTTAAAAAATTGGGGGTTGTACCCGTCATTCAACGGGGGGTTGAAGGTAGGGGAAGCATTTTTCCGTTGAAGTATGTCAAATTATAATTTAAATTTGACATGTTTCGGGATTTTGTTAAAATATGTACTGAACCGAAATAATGAATTTATTCCATTTGGCTTTTACAAACTGTATATATTTTCACTGAATTCCAATTTTTTCCTGAATAATACACAGCAATATCACCTGCAAATGAGTAGTTCACGCATCAAACCTATATTTTAAATATTATCAACATTTTTCTTATTGTTGATTATATAGGTATTTTTTTATCTATTTTATTCATTTCCTTTCCGGTCACAATATTTTTTTACAAATGAGCGTTCATATACTTTCACATTCATTGTTTATTTCTTCTCATTTTCTGATATTTTTTTGTGAAGAAGCATTTTCAATATTTTCTAATTTATTTTCACCTGGAATTTAAATTCATTAGTATTTTTTAGAAATTCTTAAGAAACATCAACCACTTTAAAGAAACACTTACATAATGTTTTACAGGTACAGCAATGATTGGTGCTTTATCTCAGCTAACTGAATCTCAGGGTTTCACAGAGCCTATACGAAATATTCAGAAACAAACAGAATGTTTTGAGGTGTCGGCAAATCAACATTTAAATTCACTTGTAAAAGTTGAGGATCCCCTAAGAGAACTTGTTCTGTGTTCAAATGAAAAAGATGTTGATCCCGAAAAGTTGAAGTTTTTAGCACTCTCTGCTGCAAATCTCGTAAAAGAGGAGGAGGCTAAGAAAAACAAAGGACAAGTTACGAAAAGTGTCAAAGCACTGGCAGGAATATTTACAGGAACTGAGAACTTTGTAAAGAAGGTTGAGGAAAACTTAAAGAAGAAATATGCAGCCCTAGAGCCTAGTGATAGTGATGGATTTGGAGGTAGTATCATTGATCAACAATAAAAGTGATATTTTTATCCGTTGACTTGTTCCTCAAAATAAATACATTTCATTCTCAAGAGAAGTTAGCGTCTGTACTATATATACGAACGATTAGATTTGTATATGTGTGCATATTGCAAATCCAATCTTTTGTATGAGATTTTCTATAGTCATAACATTTTTCAACCAGTTTCAAATTGTTATGATTCTTCAGATGCCTTTTACATAGCAGCATTCTCATCTCTTCATTAATTTTTGTCTGTCTACATATTGTCTTCTACATTAGCATAAAAAATTTAAGATTAGATTTAGTTCATGAATATAGAAGAATATAGAAGAATATAACTATATAATATTCTTCTTCTTCTTCCCCATTAAAAATATAGTTATTCAATATTCATTTCTGATTATATAAGAAGAAGAATATAACTATATAATATTCTTCTTCTTCTTATATAATAATATAGAAGAATATAACTATATAATATTCTTCTTCTTCTTATATAATCAGAAATGAATATTGAATAACTATATTTTTAATGGGGATCTGTTCGAAGGTAGGTTGCACTATATCGTTTACATGAACTGAACCTAATCTTAAATTGTTTCTGCTAATGTGGAAGACAATATGTAGACAGACAAGTCTGCTTTGTTATCATACTCGTTATTACTGTTAGTACTTGTCCAAGGACGCCACATTTTGAATAGACAACAAAAATTTTAGGAATTTATAACTGCACCAATATCGAATTTCAACACTCAAATCGCGATCAGTTCCTAAACTGAACACGACTGCGAATACCATCCCCAATTCCCCGATTTCTATTCGTCACCGTAACGCTAGTTGCACACACACCGATTTTGGACGGCCAGTATAAAATCGGCCGATATTTTATTGGTAGCGGGTGCTTGCACACTCACCGGAGTTTCATCGGTCAAACAAGCAGTTGCTTTGTTGTCGTAATTAGCACGCACTACCAAAACGAAGTTGATGCGTAGTAACTACAATTTCACCGAGCATTCGAGACTGGAATGGTCGGTAAAAAACCGGTGAGTATGTAAGAGTGTATTTAGTCATGTACGCCACTACTTCCCGGTATTGCGGACGCGAAGATACAGTGGCAGTGGACAGCTGCTCACCGGTATTTTACCGGCGACGATCACCGGTAGGCATGTGTGCAAGGTCCCGTTCCCACTTGTGGTTCACTGTTGGAATTTGGACGGCCGATTTTACACCGGTCGTCCAAAATCGGTGTGTGTGCAATTAGTGTAACATAGCTTCAAATTTAAGTTTATGACTCTTCAGCCAATCATGAAACTCGGTTAGTAAAAATTATCCAATACGAACCGCCAAGTCTACAGTCTACGTAGAAGCTCGGCTACGGTTTAACCACAATTAACGGTGAAGTCTAGTCTTCTGAACTTTCATTCTGTATTTTCTCATCTTTCTCTGCCCATAACACATATACACTGTCTTGTAAATGGATGCATTTCTATTAGATATAAAAAATGTATTATTATTATTTTTTCCTAACGCTGCTCTGGTTCAAGAAGTCCCGATTCATTCGGGGGGACGCGCCATCATTACCAATCAATGACCACTCCCCACACCGTAGTATAAGTGACTATTGGGTCCGAGAGTCATGTGCCTTGAGAATGACAACCTTCTGCATTTGTCCAGCTAAGAGTCCTGCCTTAGTGTGGCAAGCCGGCATGATCTCAAGATTCGAGAGTAGAGAGGGCATCATTCCACCAAGGAATCCAGTAATCAGAAAAATCATTTCAACAATGTGGTTTGCAAAGGTCTGTGAAGTTCGAAGAGAGAATTTCGATATTTTAACAGTATTTCCTTCTCTTTCTGTAAGATGTTTGTTTCCCCGGAAGCTTAAAACTCCACGACGAATATCGTCTTGCTCTGATGGTCAAGAGGAACTACATCGGACTTATTAGCTTGTATCAGCCTGAGAATGAGGAATGAAATGTTCCCATAAATTCGACACTTCTCATTCCAATATCCCCTGGAGCGTAGGGCAACACCGATGTCTCGGATGGAAGCATCCCACAAGGATGGTGCACAAACGGTGCAGGATGTTTCCATCTACAAGCTGCATACCTTCTCCGTAATTTCCGTTTCGTCCTCCTTGATGGACTGTTGTACATTTGTCTATCCCCAGTTTCACCCCGATAGCATGCATGTACTCTGAGTGGGACAGGCAATATTCCACCAAGGACTCCAATAATCAGAACTATTATTTCAACAGAGTGATCTGGATAGATTCTGAGGAATTTGAAGAGACAATACTCCTCTTTTTGTGCGATATTCCAATTACTTCAGCACTTCTCATTACCCGTAGCCATTACCCACCAAAATCATTGGTACAAAACCAGATTAGGACATGGACCAATAAGAAGCACACAGAGTATTGTATAAAAGTACCTGGCAACAAACACAGTAGAAGTTTCATTAAGGAACCGTCCTAAAAAAAGGACCGAAGAACTACTTCAATATAGTAGTTCTTGGACTTGGACTAAATGGACAAGTCAGACAGCTCCCAAGGTACCAAAAAAAAATCCACCAAGGACTCCAATAATCAATTATTTCAACAGAGTGGTCTGGATTGATTCTAAGGAATTTGAAGAAAAAATACTCCTCTTTTTGGGCGATATTCCAATTCCTTCGACACTTCTCATTACCCACAGCGGTTTCAATATGATCTGGAGAGTAACACAACACCGGTATCTCGTCGATAGCGTAGAAGTGGCGAGGCTGTAGTATTAGTAGTGCTGGATATAGGCTGATACCGCACGTCCTGGAGATGCCGACAGCAAATGTATAAGTCTCAGGCGCCTTATAACAAGCCCTGCACCTGATGTCAGGAACCTGTATACTACCCATCACGCGACTACGGTAGACTAAGGTGCTGAACACCATCTTGGCTGGCCATAATGAATCCTTAGTTTCCGACCTAAGCCCACTCGACTCAACTGATCTGATAAGCCAAGGTCTTCAATATTGTTGAGTAAGAACTCGTGCCTCGGCTTATCCTTGTGTTGCGAAGAACTTTAAGTGAACTCTGCGATTTTTATGTTGCTGAACGGGTTCCAACTTGGTGACAAAGTTGTGATCACCTCGTTTAGTGTTCAAAACTGAACCAACCACAACAGCTGCAGGAGGACTTTAAAATGAAGGACCACACCCGTTTGTTATTCTCAGAAACACTGACAGGGTGCGACTCAGCATCCGCATTATATTGCATGAATAACGCGGGTTTTGTCTAATTGTACCAGAATTTCAAAATCAAAATATATGAAGTTGAGTTATTCACCATGGGGTATTCCCCTTTCTCCATACATACACCTGGGGTATTTAGTACTCTCACCAGGTATAGCGCTTCAGCTGCAGAAGAAACCTCAACAGGTCATTTCTGAAAGCAGCTGCAAACATGAAGCTTAGTTTCTTGGCTCTTCCTCCAATATTAGTAAAGGAATCTTATCTATTGAAAACATTTTTCCCTAACCAGAACAAAAATGTTATCTCTCGACGCGCGTTTCGCTAACCAAGTTAGCATCATTAGGAGATGACTACTGACTTTGGCTATCCTCATTTATACTCTGTTCTTATTTTTTTTACACTAGTGTTTCCGAATTCCACTTGTAAAGGAGGAACCTAATGAAGGAGCGCTGAATTGAGGTTGGGGGAGGAGGTATGACCAACTAGTCGCGAAACTATCAAAGTTGGTTGCTGCTCCTGATGAAATCTTGAAGATGAAATTTTGACGGTGCAAAATAGAGTGGCAGGTGTGGTTGTAGAAAAAAAATCTTTGATTCCAAAGGCAGTTGTAAAAACACAGTCAGAGAATGAATAATAAAATTATTATCAATAACAATAAATAAGAAATAAATTGTATTCTTTAGGTCACAACAAAAACATCGATGACGAAGATAAATACTTCGATGATGTATATTTCAACTGGGAGTTTCCCGTGGGTTGGGCTACCTATCGGGCGCATCCCCAGGTTGTATGGGGAAACAATGTGTGAGTGCTTCACTTATGTTACTGGGGAATATTCCAATTCATTCGATCTGTATCATCTTGGTACCCAAAGATATTTTTTTGTAATTTATGATTATTGATCTTTACTAGGACAAAAAAAATCATAGGTGATATTATCTCAAGAAAAGAACTCCCTTTTTGTATTAATTAACAACCTTATCATTTGTGACCTATCAATAAAATTTCGTGAAATAACTTATCACTTTTGTAATCTATAGAAAATTATTCACTCAATTTGACATTTATTTATTGTGTCAAAGTTTTACACAATAATATGACATGAGACGAACTCATTACATAAACAAAATAATGTTTAAAACAACTGTTGTTTTCAGAAACTCCATTACTTGGTAAGATATCAAGAAATAGGAGAGCAAAATCAGCACATCTTCGCAATTCTTCAGCCAAGTCCAAAACTTCCGATAAGAGAAAACTTGTTATTGAATCAGATTCGAGTACAACAGATGCAATAGAAGAAACACAAGGTTGTGAAAATCAATTTAACATAGAAGAAACTGTTGATAGAGACCAACCTCTGAGTATAACTGATTTTACCATGGTCGAACAAGAACTGTAAGTATTTATTTTCTTGTTTCCCACTATGAAAAGCAGAAATTAATTCCGTTTAGTCGATCCGACCAACCGATAAACCGGTTTCGGGGTATTTGTCCCATCATCAGTACCGGGCATGGTCTCCTCAGAACTGTGTGAACCGTCTGAGTATCACCACCAAACAAATATGTCCCAACTGCCTAGTCCCAACTGCCTTAACAAGCGAGATGATTCACAGAGACTACCACAAACATGGAGAACATTGTTGTCACGCTAGATACCTGAAAATAAGTCAGGTACCCAGTTAGGCAAACCAGATACCTGGTAAACAAGCATTTACCAGAACGTACTGTGTAGGTAGTTGGGAGAGATGAATATTTCGAGTTATTATTTTGAAATGTTTATATTATTATAACCATATCATTATTATGTTAACTTTGAGTGAAATAAAAATCTCTCGAATCTATTTAGTGGAAAGTTTTGTAGAAAGGTAAACTTTTTTCATGAACGCTTGTAAAATTATTTCTTCACAAGGATCACACCAGACAGGTCCTTTGAGAAATTACTTCAGTACCGAAGAAAGTTTTGCGGGTGTCATTATAGCCAATATCAAGTTCTTTGGTTTTTTATTCTCATTATAAAAAAATTATGTTCGCTTACGAAATTTTAAGCCCAACTGTTACTTAGCCAAAAAATGCATATGAAATTTCTATTAGGATTACTTCCAATACTATTTGAGAATTGAATGATTTTGAAAAACATTTGTATATATGATCCTTTTGAACTATCAAATCATTAATGGAATTTTAACTACCTATTCGAAAATATATTAACCATCATGTTTAAAGACCATTATATATTTTCATAAGCTTTGTTTTTTGAAACTATAGACGTTTTTCTTCTTGTCAATACATAAGATGTTTGAATATGTAAATTTTTATTTTTTACTGCTGGCTTCGTTAAATACTAATGATGTATTTCAGATCTGTAACAATTTCAGAAACCTTAATGGTACAAGGTAATGGAAATGGAACAGAACCACAAGCTGGAAATACAGAGCCAAAAAGAAAAAAAAGAGCCAAATCTTCGAAAGTAAACAGGTTGAATCAGAATATCTCCAATCTATATGAACAATATAATATATCGATTTACTTTGTAGGGTTGGGCCCTTCACTGATCAGAGAAATTGTAGATCAGCCAAGGACCAATTTGATTTGGAGCGTTCTGAATCTCCCGATCCATTAGAACCATGGAGCACAAAAAATATTGCTAACATGAATAAAATATTGGCTTGGGAACATGATCAGGATAGTGTATGATGACTGGGTACATAAGTATGTTTGTGTGTACATCAAAAGAAAAACAATACAAATTTTCAAAGTAATATTGATGAATTATTTATTATAATCTCAAAGTATAAAATCTCTTAAAATACAAAATCTGAGGTCATAAAATTAACACAACCGTAACTGCCAGCAGCTGATCTATCACACAGTAGTTTTCATATTGAGTTTATAACTGGAATGTTTAGTCACTCAGTCTTCAGTTGATGTTTTCCTTTCCAGTTGTTTTTATTTTAGATAACTGAAATTCACAGAAAAAACTAATTGAAATAACACTCAAGAGATAAAACCATAATCTAAAGCTACTACTGAAGCAAAGCGAATATTTTTTCTCGCAAATTATTTGATTAACATCTAAGAGAGAACGTTCAGGATAGGCCCAGTATACCACAGAACTTTTCCCAAAGAATGAGATCAGTTGTGGCAATGATAAGTGTAATAAAATTTTTGAGTAAAATCCGATTCAATTCCCATTTTCAAGGTTACTAATTATATCAGATACATTTACTTGGCTAATTCAAAAGTATTTTCCGTTTTTATTAGTCTACTTTAAACTGTAATACTTATTCAATTTATTTGAAATAAGCGCAATTTAAATCAGTGCCCTTTCGCCAATGTAACACGATTAATTCAGTCAGCATCAAAATTGGGTACTCGACATTCGGTGAAGTCGACAAAGGCCGTTTTTGCCTGGTCCTGATTGGCGAAGGTGCTACCGGTGAGAAAGTTACAGAAGTGTTCGAAAAGATGGTGGTTGCTTGGCGACCACCATCTTTTTCAAAACAACTTCAAACATTTTCAAGCCAGAACCTGGTAAATTTCAAATGCAGAAGGCAATGAAAAAATATTTCCCATCTTCTGATAAAAAGTCAAAAGATTGGCTCTTATTTCATAAGACATCAAATTGAAATGGCAAAGATATGAAGGTAAAGCTGAATCCATAGTTGCGGAAATGTTATGAAGTGCTGGAAACAGATGTCATCCATACTTTGGAAAACCGATTTATCTACTACTAATACTACTAATACGTTTATTATTTACCAAAAATTAACAACCAATATTAAATTTCAATAAAAAAAACTAGGTAAATAAAAGGTGAGAGTTCAGTTTTCTTTCAACACCAGGAAGAGAGAAACTGGTCTTCCACTCAGACCCTTACTACAAACTAAACTAGGCATAATTGGGGATTATTTAATTGGGCCCTATTTTCTCCCCTTACGTTTGAATGGAGATGCTTACCTACATTTTTTGGAACACGAGCTTCCCCGACTTATGGAAGATGTTCCCATTGGTCTCCAAAATCACTCTTGGTTTATTTTAGTGTTTTTTAATTTATTTAGTGTGATAGCAAGAAATTTTTTAGACATAGCATATCCCCAATGATGGATAGGAAGAGGAGGCACTGAGCATTGGTCCCCGAGGTCACCGGACCTCAATCCCGTCGATTTTTTCTTTTGGGGACACCTAAAATCACTAGTTTATGCTAGCTCCATTGAAAATGAGAAAATGTTGAGAGATCGCATAATAAATTGCTGCGAAACGATAAGAAACACTCCGGGCATTTTTCAACGGGTGCGGAATTCTTTGATGAGGGGAGCAGAAGCTTGTATTACTGTTGGGGGTCGTCACTTTAAACACTGGTTGTAATAGTTGTTTCGCTCAATTTTTATATGTTTATTTTCCTAATAAATAACATAGTACTTCTCTGAATTGTTTTTTTTCACAAACTCCGAAATGTAGCACTTTCTAATTGAATAATTAAACCTGACCATTTTTTTTATTTGGATTGAATAAGCAGTTCGATAATGCTCAGTTTAGAAGAAGTCTGTACAGGTATGCTGCGTATAAAGTTTGATGAAAATAACTAAAATTGCAAAAAACTTATGACAAAAACCTACCATGTTTTGAAAAATTTCAACAATCTGTATTTCGAAAACGAATCATTCTTCGTTAAACATTTTATAGGAAAAAGTTGTTCATTTTGACGAGATCCACCACATACTTAGTTTTTGTATGGAATTGTATCGACATGTCTAAAAACTGTGTGTGTCTTAAGACTAATGAATATTATTATTACTATCAATAGACATCCTTTATAACCAAAAATACATGCATTTTGAAAATATATTCATTAAATAAATGTAACTTTAATATATCTATAACCAACATTTCAAGTTAATATAATTATTTCGATCCTCAATTAATTTGTAAGCAAAGTTGATTCTCAAATACAACATTTCACAATAAATTTACTAAATGAAATCTTACCATATTGGAAGTTTTAGGAATAGAATATCTGATATCTCCTGATGTGTCACACCCATTGTTATTATTAGTTTCAGTCAACAGCCCTTTCCTTTTACTATCAAAATATGTTGATTTCAATAGGTTCTCTCTGATTTTGCCCAGGGAAGACATCAGTCCAATTTCTTTACCAAGAGAATTACTTCTTTTCAATTTCTGGGCACCATTGATTTTAATGTCACTAACGCTATTTCTTCTAGAAAGTACTTGTTCTTGTTTAACCAGTGATTTTCCAACAGAAGATCTTGCAGTACCCGTTTTATCTATTGAAGAACTTTTACTGAAAATAAAAAGTTATTCCAAAATAATATAATGCTGAAAACATTCTGATTGTCTGTATTTTCATTCAATCATATAATAGAGGTATGTCCAGCAAAATTTATTTTACACGGCAATATAATTACATACTCTGAAATGGGTCATGTGGTGCCTAACCTAACCTAACAAAATAAAAAAAATCCCAGATCTGTTAATGAATGATATGAAAAAGTGTTTTTTTAAGGACAAAACACAAGCACTACAGAAAAATTTAAGGAGCTCTAAGAGCGGTGCCTGTGCGAAATATGCGATTCACATTGGATTTGAATCGCTGGAGATTAAATCTATTTGGAAAAACGTTCTCAGGAAGTTAATTCCACCATAAGCCCATCCAAATCGACCATAGTAGCATTCACCAAGAGGACTAAAACGAAGGGTCTCGGACCTCTAAAACTTCGAGGTGAAGAAATACAAATGTCGGGGTAGGTTAAATATCTGGGAGTAATTCTAGATTCCAAACTGACCTGGAACCAACACTTGGACAGGACAAAAATGAAAGCGGAGGTAGCACTGATGCTCGCCAGACGCACCTATGGAAAAACATCGGGGGCTAAAACCAGACTTGGTATATTGGCTATACATGATGATGGTTAAACCCATGTTCTGGTGACCAAAGATGAAGCAGGCGACCGCTATCAACAAACTAGGCAAGGTGCAAAGACTTGCATGTTTGGGATGACGGGAGCAATGATAACTACACCAACAGCTGCATTGGAGACACTCCTGAATCTACCTCCTTTACACTTTGTTATAATGGAGGAGGCCAGGATGGGCGAATTCAGACTAGAAAACTCATCGAACTACAAAAGATCGGACCGAACTGAAATTTCGGAACATGTGGAGGAGCACAAATTAAATATGTGCACAGACCACATGACACCGAAGTACACCTTTAACACAAACTTCACGGCCAAAATGATAAGCCGTGGACGGCCACCTGGTATACAGATGGATCGAAGACCAAACATGGAACGGGAGCTGGAATATACCGAGCGGATAGAAATTTAAACTACAGTTATCCGCTAAGACTATACACATCCGTCTTTCAGGCAGAAATGTATGCTATCTTGCAGTGTGCAAGACTTATTGAATTGAGACCTCAAAGAAATGAGCGGATTAATATTTTAACAGACAGCAAGAGCGCACTAAGGGCTCTGACAAACCCGAAGGTGACATCAAAACTGGTCTGGGAATGCCATGTGCCAGGGCATTCAGAAATCACAGGTAATGATAAAGCTGATGAATGCGCTAGACACGGATCATCAACTTCATATATAGGTCCTGAACCAGCTCTGGGGGTACCAAAATCATTGGTACGAAACCAGATTAGGACATGGACCAATAAGAAGCACACAGATTACTGGACAAAAGTACCTGGCAACAAACACAGTAGAACCTTCATTAGGGAACCGTCCGAGAAAAGAACCGAAGAACTACTTCAATATAGTAGGGATCGGCTCAGAATAATTACAGGGTTACTAACCGGTCATTGTCCGCTTAGAGAACACCTGAATAAAATGGGGCTGTACAACGGAGACATCGGCTGCAGATTATGCAACGAAGGGATAGAAACAGCTCTACACACCTTATGCGAATGTGAGGCACTGAATCACAGAAGGCAGGCAATATATCGGCGTACAAAATTACGCCCAGAAGAATATGACGAACATCCAACACGGAACCTCTACAAACTAGTACAGGGAACGAGACTGATGGAATGGGTGTCATGAGAAGATGGGAGAATGAATGCAATAAGCCCAATAGGCTGCAGTGTTTTCTGGAGACTTGGACTAAATGGACAAGTCAGACAGCTCAAAAAAAAGAGGTTTATTCCATATAAACGCAGTTTTTCTAATGAAAGAGTTTTTGAACAGTGAAATTCGAGCTGTACTGGGTTGAACCTCAAAACGATGAGCAGCCACAGTCTGTCGAGTATTTCTGGTATGTACCGCCTTTGGTTGAATCAAATGTGCCAAGTCACTTGAACACTTCCCGTGAAAGTATATATGAGAGACAACTCTCCAACCTTTCTTCGATGTTCCAGACTAACAAAGTCTCAAATGATATTCGCGTCTCTAATCAGGCGAATGGCTCTTTTCTGGATGGAATCCAGCAGCTTTAGGGCTTGCTTAGGGGCAGAGCTCCATACCTGTTATCAATACTCCAAAGAATGTCTGATCTGAGCTTTATAAAGGATCAAAAGTTGCTGAGGTGTGTACAGTTTTCTTGTTCGGAACAGTGTTCCAAGCTTTTGAGAAGCAGCCTTTGCAATTCCAGCCACATGATTGTGCCAAGACATATTGGTGTCCATTTCAACCCCCCAACAACTTATCGAAGCCGAAAGCGGAATTGTCTGTCCTGGCATTAATAAATCCAGTTCGGAGACATTCATCTTTTTGGAGAAAACCGATGCATGGGTTTTTGTGGCANTCTCTCTCTCTCTCTATTCACCGATTCCTCAAGTGCCGTTGTGACCAAAATCAAGGTAAGGAAATCACAGACACGTTAAATTCTCTCTTTTTGATATCATTATTATTGTTAGTTAATTCTCATTCATTAGCACCACTGAACAGAACGAACTACTCGATAATTTTCAAAGACCTATTAAAACGGTCCACTAAGTTACCCAATATATAACACAAACCTTTAATTGGCGACGATAGCTAGTCATTGTGAAACATGGGTTTCTAGTTACACTATTTGTTCACAAATATACAGATTTCAAAATAAAAAAACTAAATGAAGGTGACCTTATTGAGGAATAACAAAAGCCAGAGTTATGAAATGAAAGTTTGGTCTAATTTAGGAAATCCGGGGGTAAGAGCATCATCCATTCATAAGGGTAATATAGGGTGTTTTTTATAGAGGCATAACAATCTGAAATGGAATAAAACATAGATGAATTTTTAAATTGACATGAAATTCACTTCATTTGAAAGAAAACCTTCTGGCATTATAATCTAAATATGACTTCTACCATATGACCGCCATGGCTGGCTCGGACATAGTCTAATATGAAGGTCCAATTTTTGAAGACTTCCTCCAACATTTGCAGCCATATATCGGCAATAACACATATCCCCACAGAAAATAGTCTAGCGGCGTTATATAGCACGATCTTGGAGGCCAATTCACGGGTCCGAAACGTGAAACTATGCGGTTATCAAACGTTTCCTTCAATAAATCAATTGTGGCACAAGCTGTGTGTCATGTTGCACCGTATTCTTGAAATCACAGCTCCTGCACATCATGGTTATTCAATTGATCAACGAAAAAATCAGTGATCACGGCTCTATAGCGGTCACCATTGACTGTAACGTTCTGAGCAGCATCCTTTTTAAAGAAGTACGGACCAATGATTCCACCAGCTCATGAAGCATACCGTACAGTCAGTTTTTCTGGATGTAACGGTGTCTCAACATACACTTGAGGATTATCACAACTCCAAATACGGCAGTTTTATTTATTGATGTATCCATTCAAACAAAAATGAGCTTCATCGCTAAACAATATTCGCTTATGAAAATCGGGATCAATGGCACAATTTGGAAGCGTTGTTCAGGCGTCAGTCTATTCATGTTGAACCTAACCAAACTAATTAAAAATTAATTGATTGCTGACAAAATTGCCGCCAGTTAAAAAAGTGTTGCCAACTTAAAGTTCTATACCTTTATAAAAAAAACACCCTATATAATGTAACACAATCATTATAAATTATAATTGTTGCATTTCAAAAAATATTTTTGACAAATTTTCAATTTTCAAGACTAAAGTTATTTGGCAAATTTAAGATGAA